TACTTTTAGAAGCGAAGACTTCAATGTCTCAGGATAAACAGAGGGAATGTGCACTTCTGTGGAATTGCAAAGTAGAAGTCTGACAAGTGGTACATGTGCCTTCAGTCCTGGTTAAAGATCCTTAATGGACTATTGGTAGATGACTATTAGTAGATGTAACCGTAAGTTCTATGCTAATAGTTTCTTCTATCGCACTACTCACTTGTGGAACTCTCTTTCGGCCTCTTGCTTCCCAGTCAACTTTGATCTTCAAAAATTTAAATGCAACGCCAATCATTATCTTCTGTCTTCTGATTTAATGGTCTTTTATTGTCTTCTCTCCCTAATAGTATTTTTTTCTCATATTCTCTTAAACTCAGTAACCCCTTGCGTCTTCGTGTTTTTATTGCATTGCGTGGAGTGAAATGATTTAAAAAAATATGATCTGTACTGGGAGAGAGACTTTCAATTTTTAGCACTTGCAGACCCACATGTCCCTATCGAGGCGAAAATTCTTACTAAAGCATTTTGGAAGTGAAATTCCTTTTTTTAATCACGTTTACTGTCTTGCTGCTGATTCATCAGTTCACGGGCCAATGAAAAGACACCACCACATATTTCTTCTTTTTTCTTGCTTAATACTTGTTCTTTTACTGTTCGCCCTCCTTAATAGCATTTTTCTCATATTCTCTAACATTCAGTTACCACCTTTCGTGACGTACGGTGGCCGTTAATGATTAAGTATAACTCAAGACTTCAATGTTAAGATAAAACAGTATTTAATTACAACCGCAAATAAATACTTAACAAGAACAAACAAGTAAAAGTCAACCAAAGATAATTAACCATTTCAGTGAATACCTTGTTAGTAGCGCTGCTCGGCTTAACGTCCGGTAAATCCTAAATCAAAACGCAAATCATCGACGCAAAATAATTCACACTAATTCGACTGGATAGTTCCGCTCAATAAAAATTCAATAATCACTGCAGTCAGTAGCCTGACATCGCTATTTATACACCTGGCGGAAAACGCTCGAACCTCGCTGTCGATAGTCACTTATTTTTTTCTATATGACACTCCTATGCCTCATAGTGGCTTTATTGCCTTGCTTTGGGTGAACTGATTTAAAAAAATAGTAACCTTAATATTAGCTGTTTGTTAACTGTAATAATAATATTAGTCGTTTCCATATGAACAAACATTCAGCGTCCATTGACCGAACAGTTAGTGCTACTTACAGTTGAAGTTTCTAAAACCTTTCTGTTAAAACAATTTTTGTCGAGAAAATAGGTTTCTCAAGTCCGGTGTTATCGTTCTTTCAACTGTTGATAGATGTTTCCTTCCTACCCTTTTGCTTAAAGTAGTGCGGAATGTCAACACCTTTAACATGCCATTGTTTTGTGTTCGCGTTACATGTGCTGCTCATCTTTATTGTTGTTGCTAGTAAAAATCCTCGACTGGTGGGCTTTCTTTTGTCTGGGGGTGAGAGTCAAGGTGCACAGTTCTTTGTGATTCTGTACCACGAGGTCCGAAGAAGGGTGATCCTCACTAAACCCTGTAGGTTTCATTCGCTCAAACCCACCTTTAACCATCAATCTGAGAAAGCGATTGTATACAGTTCACGGTTTAGATATTCAGGGAGGAGTTGGGCGCCGTGTATGACATCCATATGAAAGTCTCTATCTGACGAGGATATTTAAGAACGTGGCACGAGATTTAGGTTAATGTCTTGGTTTTATAACAATTTGCTGTGTTGTGGGAAATAACTTATAACACAGTTTATTCTATGTTGAATTTATTTATCACATCAACTAAATTTCTTTTAACTGATCAATACACCGAGGTTCATAGAGTGTTTAGTATTTACTAATTCGAAGTTATATGAAAGCTTCAGAGTAGGTGTCATCACTTCTTTCACTCCAATTTTAGATAATATTTTCTGATCCCAGAAGCTCATAAAAAAATAAAAAATAAATTAACAAAAACTGTGCACTCGTGTAAGTGTTATTAGGTTACTGAAGACTTAACATTTTATGAGAATATCATCTGTCAGCTTGGCATGTACATACCATAGCCAGATCAAAATTGGCATCGTCCGTCAAGGTGTTGCAATTTTATTTTTCATCATTTATTGATATTTTTTAGATGGTTGGCCTGTTTTTTTTTTTTACATTGTGTCATATACAAGACGGTACGTTTATATTAACGAATGGCTTCTTTTTGTTTTACTACAGTTCGCCTATTACAAGGCCTAAGATCCACACAATGTAGAGGGTTACGGAATGAGGTGTGTAATATGAACATGGAGAATATCAAGAGGAAGTGGGAAGTGAAAATTACGATGACAGATAAAGATCGACCCTAGATTTTAAGAGGGAAATATTGTAGTGTTCGGGAAAGCATACACGCAGTAGACACTTCCACAAATTAGCAGTTGTTGGGAAGAAAAATTTATAGTGGTACATGCTTGTTTGCAAAGGAATACGTAGGAAATGAAGGTGATTCAATCCTGTGGACGTAACAAGGCGAGTCTGGTCCTTAAGGGTCTGAGCTAATGGAGCTAAAAAGGAGATTGTCTGAGCATTTGCCGTGGAAGTAGCGATAGAATAGGGATAGACTTGCGACGTTGCATCTCTGGTAAATGGGCGGGATTGGAAAATAAATAATCAAGCCACGTAAGCGATTTTGAACACTATTAAAATTGTTTTTATTATACATGAACATTGGTTTCATTTTTATTTTAGCTCAATAATAATGTTAACACTTTGGATTTTTCTGTAGGTTATAGAACCGCAGCCTCCTTACACGTGCTGATGTAGGTTTTATTTTTATTTATTTTAATTATTTTTTGCAAGAAAACCAAATTAGTGCTATTCCACCATCGCCGACCGAACCCAGATCTTTCGCCAGTCGCGATGAACGGATGTTCCCTCAAAGAGGCCCCTGGCCTTGAGCGCCTACTGGGATTTAAACTCAACCCAGACCACAAGTGAAGGTCATACATCGCTAAAGATGCTGGAAAAAGGGTCGGTTCCCCTGTATGGCTCCATGAAGTACCTGACTCCTCCTGCCATCTTCTACCTTTACAGGAGCCAGATCAGGCCAAAAATGGGGTGCTGCTGACGTCTTCACTTTACGGAAGCGTCTCCGTATCCCTGTAGGTGACTAATTATTTCCCAACCCATGACTTCTTTCTCACCAACGAGACATCGTAAGCCTCTCGCTGTTCTATCACTATTTCCATGGGGAGAATTCAGATGAACTACACTCCTAGGTTCCACCAATCCTAACCTTCAGGGATAAGACACGCCATGCCCCGCATATTGTATCAAACCATCCTCATTCTCTTCGTATCCCCACCGCCTCAAGCAACTTCTTACCACGAACCATCGTCTTGTGAAACCGACTCCCAACAGGCTGCTCCCTCGATTCCGAAAATGTTAACCTGTTCAAGTCTACGGTTGACTGTCATCTTCCGCGTAAGCTCTACCTCTTACTCTGTAACACTCTAACTCGAGTGTTACCCGGGCCTAGTACAGGTTGAGGACCACTGTAGAAATAAAATTTGATGGCAAGTCTGTTCTTTAGTTTCCTACCTTTGTAGGAGTTTCTGTATTTTTTCTACGTCTGCTGTCAACCTTGTGTCATTTGCATATTTTAATATTACGATTGTGGCCACCAATAATTAATCCTGGTAGGACAACACTTCCTATTGCTGTGGGTTTCAGTCATGTAACAAAGCAAAACTTCCTATTGCAGTGGGTTACATTAATCTAACAAATGCAAAGTATCTTGTAGTAGCAGCAATTATTATTATTATTATTATTACGCATTGCAATGTCTTCATATTCTCTTCATTGCAAAATTAGCTTACTATTAAGTTGGGTCATACGTAATTTCCGTTTTATTCAACCAATTGCAATGACGAATGTAACGTCCTAATTACTTATAGGTAGCAGTGGGCACCTCGGCGTGGTGTAATGGTTAGCAAGCTTGTTTTGCTATGTCAGTTACTACTGAAAAGTGAGTTCGATTCTCACTGGATGCCCCATGCTTTCGGCCCTGTGCCATATCTAAGCTACTCTTGGAAAATCTTTACTTACAGATAGCAGTTGAGGGACAGCTCGATGTGGTGTTATGGTTTTCTCGCTAGAAAGAATGATAACTGAATGGTGAGTTCGTCCTCAATGTGTGTCCAATACTTTCGGCCTTGTACCACATCTAAACTACGCTTAGAAAATCATCATACGTAGCAGTTCAGAATAAATTTGCGGTAAACTAACATGCTTTAGTTGCAGGATACACGTTGGACTAAAGGAAATACTACTATTTTTTTCCTCCATGACAACGGAAGCCGCTTACTGCAAGACTAACGCAGGAAAAACATATGGAACTCGGTTGGTCTGGTCTACATTCACCTGCCATATCCAATCGATTATTACCGTTTTCGACTGTTGCAAAACGCTCTGATGAGAAAAACTTTCTCTCAAGAAAACCAGTTGGTCGAAAAGTTTTTCGCACCAAAACCTACGGCATTTTACTAAAAAAAGATATCAAAGAAAGGCTTGAAAAGTAGCAACAAGTCATTACAAATAACAGTGAATTTATTTTATTGAATAAATCATAAATGTATTTTCCGTTCTCGAAGAATAAAATTGATGAACGAAAATATTTATTTCTTCAATAAATAATTAAAACTCTACGGAAAGAAACTACATGAGGGATACCTATATTACGGCGAGTGATACTAATAGTACTTATAGGTAGCAGTGATTAAAATATTGTATGTTATTATTACCAATACCACAATATTGATAGATAAACAATAATTATTTTTTCTTAATGATAGTGATATTGTTAATGCTAATACTGGTGATAAATATAGAAAATGATGATGATAAAAAAATAAAAAAATGTAATAACAACAACAACAACGACAAGAATGAACGTGAAAGAGCAAAGCATATATATTCTGTCTGCTCGATCAATATCCATATGGCAGAGCGGTGAAATTTCATTAATGGTTGGAACTTGTGCTGAATCTGTCATTCGTCTGTTTTTAGTCTGTATTTGCGGCCTCTGTACGTCACACCCATACGCTACCACACTTCAGTTCTCCACCCTCCTACTTCTCCTTCCCTATCTCTTTTTCTTTCTCTTTTTCTTTTCTCTCTTTCTCTTCCTTCCACAGTCGACATCCTCCAAATTTCCCCACCCCTCGCTTTTTCTTTCCTCTCCGTCTCCAAGACCTATACCCCGACCCACACTTCATTCTTGTGGCTCTTAAGCTACATCGGCCTGTGTATCTTTCTGTCCTCGTCTTGTTTCCCACAACCTCACCATGCCTGTTCGCCACTCCAGCAGTCCTCAAACCCCACAACAGCTAACAGCCACCCCAATATATATATATATATATATATATATATATATATATATGTATGTATTTCTTCGACACAACTTATTCTTTCACGTTCTTAACAAACCTCTCCTGCCAAATATTCTTCCTTTCTTTCTTTTTTAGTCGTTCTTCCAAGAGTCTTTCTTTTAAACATCTTTCCTTCGTCGTATCTTCTTGTCGTTCCCGTCTCATCAGCCATCCCTGCAGTTCCCTGACCTCCTCCACAAACTAAATCTCTTTACACTGAAACTGTCATCCCCACCCTGAATTTTCGTTCTCCCCATATATATATATATATATATATATATATATATATATATATATATATATATATATATATATGTATGTGTGTGTGTGTGTGTGTGTGTGTGTGTGTGTGTGTGTGTGTGTGTGTGTGTGTGTGTGTGTGTGTGTGTGTGCGCGCGCATGCTAAGCAGGACACAAACGCATTCTCCTACACAGACACGGGCACATCAATATAATACAAACAAACCCAGAGATTTACTTACTTACTTACATACCTACATATTGCATATATGATCACAAATAAACTTACGCTTTTAGTCCCCCCCACTCTGCTACCTCAACTGTCTCCATACCATCATCATCACCACCGCCATCATCATCGCCATCATCACAACTAGCGAGATCATCGCCTCTCCCAACACAACACTATTATCAACACGACTGTGGGCATCAGCAATTAACATCACCGGTACCGTTACCATCACCATGATGGCGATCGCCAACAGCACCGCCACCCTAACTACCATCACCACAATCATCATCAACCATCAACATCATTATCACTAACAGCAACGTCTGCATTACACGATTCTGCTTCTTTCTCTCCTTCCTGACTCTCCCATCCTTGCTCTCCCTTCTGCTCTCCCTCCAGCCCTCTCAAATGTCTGACCTACCGCCATTACATCTATCTCTGCACCGCCCCCTGTAACCATTACCTACCACCACTGCCACCATTGCATCTCCATCGTACCATTCCCACTCGCTACTCGCCATCACTAATCCCACCACCTCATCACCGTATCGCGTCTTTGTCTTTATAAGTGCATATATATATATATATATATATATATATATATATATATATATGAGTGTGTGTTCATGTTTTTATATATACGCATGTCTATTGTGTTTATTTCGTCGCTTATTCATTTTAGTCACTCTGTGTGATTGATTATCAATTTTATATATATATATATATATATATATATATATATATATATATATATATATGCGTGTATGTGTGTGTGTTTATATAAGAAGCACCGTGTAAAAGCATGTAGCTGTTCATATCTATACATATGTGCGAAGAAAGACGTTTTTTTAATTGTACACGTATACATTTCACGTAGAATTCTTATATCCGCTTACGTGTTCCTGACACATGAGCACACTCTAACACGCCAACAGATACGAGTGTAGATACGTGTGTAGACATGTAGTGTATGCATGTCTATCTGATGTGCCTATGTGCACGTATCTTACGAAAGCGTTTCTATTAAGTCTGAGTACGTCTGGCGTGGTATGTGCGAATTCCATCTCTCTTGTTTAATCTCTATCAATCTACGTACGTGTTATGAATTGTATCACTCATTACATTTATGCGTTCGAGTGTTTGGGTCTCTGTGTGTACATTCGGATGTCTCCGTTTGTTTCCGTGTGCCGCCGTATGCGAAAATGAACACGTTTATCAGTACGTTTGTTTGTGTATCTCTGGCGATTTTCTTGTTGAATGTTTCTCTTTCACTATATTTCTTTCTTTCTTTCTCTTGTTCACTCTTTCTCTCTTTCTCTCTCTTCTCTCTAAATATACATTTTTTACTTATTTAAATTATTCTTTCACTCTCAAACGTCTCCCCTTTCTTTTTCTCTTATCTTACTTTGTCATTAATTGAGAATCTTTCTTTTTTGTTTCGTTTTATTTATCTGTTTTTTTTTTATAGAAAAACTTTCTTTCTTTTTCTTCCTTTCTTCAATTAATTTTTTTTACATTTTTCTTTCCTTACGTTTTTTTTTTAATTCTATTACATTTTTTCTTTCTTTTACTTTCTACGTTTTTTTTTCTTTTTCTTCTTTTTTTCTTTATATGGATTTTGTTTTTTTTACATATTCCCACACTTTCTTTTATTAATTCGCTATTTATTTCTTTTTTTCTTTCCTAATTCAACCACAGTTTTTATTTATATTAACATGCTGTTCTCTCGTACTTTTTTTTTTTTTTTCTTTCTTCAAAAAATCGTTTTTTACACGCTTCCTTCCTCTCTTTCGTACATTTTTCTTTTGTCTTCTTCGGACATTTTTCTTTCTATTTCTTCTTTTTTTTCTTTATACAGATTCTTTCTTTGCATATTTCATTCCATCCTTTTTCAATTGGCTAAAATTCTTTCTTTTTTCTTTCTTTCTTTCATCCACTTTTAGTTGTATTTCATGCTCTTTGTTCTTTCTATCTTTTTCATTCTTTCCTTCATTCTTTCTTTCTTTTTCTTTCTTTCTTTATTCTTTCTTTCTCGGCACAATGTATCTATTTCCATCTATTTTTTTCCTTTCTTTTTCCTATTTTAAATTTCTATCGTTTTCCTTCTTTATTCATAAAATCATTCTTCATTTCTTTAAGTTTTTACCCTGCATTCTTCATATATATATATATATATATATATATATATATATATATATATATATATATATATATATATATTGTGTGTATGTCTTAATTTCTACTTCCTAATCTTTTATGTCTATTAACCTTCCTCTCTTTTCTTCTGAGCGCTGACATGTTCTTTTTTTTTTCTTTTAATCTTTTCTTTTCTTTTTAGTTTAATGCTAACTTTCTAGTTTCGCCTCCATCATAATTTTGTCCGTTTTTTGATCTCTTTTCTTTTCATTCCTTTTCAGTTTATATCCTCTCCCTTTCCCAAATCCCCCCGCTCTCTCTCTCTCTCCATCTATCTATCTATCTATCTATCTATCTATCTATCTATCTATCTATCTATCTATCTATCTATCTATCTATCTATCGATGTTTTCGAGTGATCGATTATCTTATTCGTATCTCCTTTTTCTCTCCTTAAAAAGAAACGCGCTCTGCAACACACTCATTATTTTCATTAGTAGAGATTTAAACGCTAACATTTCTCGTATGTCTTTTGGGTGGGTTCGCATCCACCTTTCTAGAATTTTCTTCTCTTATTTTATTTTATTTTTATTATTTTTCTTTTCTTTTTTTTTTTTCTTGAAGACTCTTCTTTTTTTTTCTTTTGGTAACGACTTATTGTTTTCTTCCAATAGTATACCTTTCCTGAATGCGCACACACACTCACAACGCACGTACGCACAAGCACGGACGGCTAAACATGCATTTACAAAAACAGAGAACCGCACAACTGCCTTTTCCTTCTCCTCCTCCTCCTCCCGGCTATTGATCTCTTGTTTTCTCTCCTCCCACTTCTCCTCCCACGCATTATCCCGTCCCACTCAAGCGCACGGTTTTGCCTCTCACCCTCCGCTTTTTCTATCTATTCCGTCTTAAAGCTCTTTAAAAATAAACTATTTTTTTTCTTTTATTTTTACATTTCATTCGTTTAGAATTTACCTGTATATTTCTCTGCCTACAATTTCTTTCTTTCTTTTTTCTTTCTTTCTCTCTTTGTCGCCGTCTGTGACGATGACTTGACGTATATAAGCATGTTCTTGTATCAGGACGCACAAGCGAACACAGCGATGAAGATACAGCAATAAAACCAGGTACTCACGCAAATACGCACACAAAATCATATAGAAATGTAACATAAATACAAGCATTTTTCTGTATCTATAGATATAATCGCATATATATATATATATATATATATATATATATATATATATATATATATATTCTGATAAATCTTTTTATATATTGGACAGTAATAATATATCTTCTATTATCTTTGATTAACATTTTATGCTATATATATATATATATATATATATATATATATATATATATATACATATATATAATTACTGCCTAAAAACTTATATATATATATATATATATATATATATATATATATATATATATATATACATATATAATGAATAAAATGGTCTAATTAAAAAAATGGCTTCCTATATATATATATATATATATATATATATATATATATATATATATATGTATGTATGTATGTATGTAATTACTGTCTATATATTTCTTACATATATATATATATATATATATATATATATATATTCTGATATATATATTTATATATATATAATAACTGTCTAAATATTTCTTACAGACAAACATATATATATAAATTCTTATATATATATACATATATATATATATATAATTGCTGTAAAATATTTCTTACACACGCAGATATATATATATATATATATATATATATATATATATATATATATATATATATATAAGGAATATTGAGGTAGTAATGATTTATCCAAGCTGCACTAATTAAAAGTACTGACTTTCAATATATATATATATATATATATATATATATATGTGTGTGTGTGTGTGTGTGTGTGTATGTGTGTGTGTGTGTGTGTAAAGTGCACGTATATATGCGTAAATATTATTTGCAAAAAAT